TGAAGGAAAGAAGTTAAAAATAGACATTTATACACCATTCGATAGACAATTTCAAGAGCTACATTTTGCACTATTTATATTTGAAAAAAAGGATTATTTCGATTTTCCGCCTATATGCCCACTGTGCCACAGCTACCAGCAACAGCTGAAATATTGCCTCTCTAGAAGCCGCGCAAAGGTAACGAACCAAACCTATCAAAATGTCCGATCAATGATGCCGCAATTCATAAATAACCCAGATCACCGTACTATTCATAAATCTCCCATAAATTCCATTGCACCAGATGACATTTCACTTTCGTCAAGGCAGCGTTCATCTGACGACACCGAGGTCACCAACAACTTGTTGGTGACCTCGGTGTCGCGGTTTCAGGCTGTTGTCACGGATTCAGGCTGAATCCGTGATGAAGAAGCTAGTGAAGACTGCAAATAACATACAGAGAACAACTGTTGACTCAGTATGCAATGATAAGAAGTGTCTATGGACCACAAAAATACTTATGGTGTAATAATGATCCAAATCATATTCTAACATTTACTACAAGAACAGACGATCTCCTCAGCTGAGGCAATCCTGATTATACCCGATTTGCACAGCAACCAGCGACTGTATTCTGGTCACAAATGCTTTAGGGTAAGTCCATGTGAACCTACGATCATTACGCTGACTTTTGGCGTCACCGATGAGACACACATTTTTACATATAGTTTTGCGCACTGATCCCAACTGTCCACTGAATCTAGAGCTGTCGAACTAATGCACCCAAGCAAAAATTACCTATGGGAAAAATCTAGATACATTTCGTCTGTAGTCGGGCGATGCACGACTAGTTGTCATCTAGATTGCTAGTTGGAAAAGGGACTTTTAACTAGATGCGTTCGCACGTGCAACTAGCAATAGTTAAATTGATCAATTATCGGGCAATAAATCGATAGTTGTAACTGAAGAGAAATCTAACAATTGCTCGATTATTAGATTTTCACTGTCGTTATCAAATAGTTGTAATCGAGTAAAAATCTAGTAATCCAGATAAATTGAACGATACTAGATTTTTTTTTTATGTCTGGGCAGGAAAAAGCTAGTGGCATTTTATGATCCTAGCGGAAACGTACATTTTCAAGTCGAAATTAATAAATACTTTTTCCAGCAGGAGATTACTCTATGCGATATCTATATATAGATATCATATAGATATCGTACAGTCAGTCACATGAACACATATATAATATATGTGTTTATGTGACTGAACGCCTACAACACAATGCTTTGTATCTAACAACTACAGGAGATCAATAAATGAATGGAAGAAACCGTTGTAGAAATGAGAGCTAATGTGTTCAAGATAAAAATAATAGCTAGCGAATCATTGGCTCATTGATTTACAACTGGTAGAGGAAACCGACCGCCGAGTTCTTTTATTAACCGACAATTGTTTTAATTTTTTCTCACAGCTTGTCATTCTAAAGGAAGAAAGATGACCTAATATATAAGCAAACCATTTCACTCACTACAAATAATGATGGAATGTGTGCGTAAAATTCTTCATTTGTTTTCTTCAATTTGTCGCCTGCTGTTTTGCTATTCCTGTGGAAGATTATCGTTAGAAAAATATTCTTATTGCGTAAGCCGACATGTGTTACGAAATCGTTTCAATGGTAAATGTATCGTATTTCAAGAAATGATCCACATTGGCGATAAAGATTTCTATTCTCAAATTAATCGAGACATTAAACAGTTTTTAAGAGAATATCCGTCGGATAGTGTCGTATTTAAGGAAGGTTTTTATCTTAGACCTGTCGACAGAAACAGTATCAAACTACTTCGATCATTTATTCAACAGTGTTCTCACTTACACAACGGACTTGCGCTTAGAAAATTGTATTGTTCTGTAATGGTCAATGTGGTTGAACAACGCGAGAGCATATATTTGAGGGATATCAAACGACAGTCGATTAAAAGAGCCGACATCGATGTAAGACGGTTGATGAATGCATTAAAATATGTTGAAAAGGACATTAATGAGGTAAGTGAGTTGAAACATCAGTTTCAAAAAGCTACATCTGCCGCTTATTTCAGGAGTACAGGCGTGTGATTTGGACAGTGGCCGATTGGGTAGTGAGTAATGTTTACTCACATTTGATTTACTATGTATCGAAAGTATTTCCAAATTATTTCAAAACGTTGTTCATTCACAAAATTAAATCATATACGAAAACCAGAGGTTTCTGTCCCGATGATATTGTAATTATAGATAGCCGAAATATGCATTTGGTACAAATGATTCGACATGAACAAGTGAAGAATATCTATGTACCATGGGGAGTCGCACATTATCCCGGTGTAAAATGCTTACTAGAACAATGTGGCTACATAGAACATAGTTCCTCCGATATCATTGCAATTAGAAATGAACAACCATTTCTCTGCCTTCTTTTGGAATGTTTTCTTAATTAAAGAATTCTTTATTATCAAATAAAAGTTTTTACTCTCATGTATCTCAGACATTGCACTTTCTAAATATAGTCACACAATCAATTCTGACACTCATGAATATTTGTCATTACTAAACAAGAGGATCAATCGAATATATGACAAAGTTTTCAGGTCTTCGATATTCATGATGTATCCGTGCGCTATATATTATCTAAGATATATTTGTGAAGGGAATTGATCCTTTCGTATGTTTATCCATGAAAACGCCCCTTATATGTGCTGTACACGAGTATATATAGTGTAAGAGACAATGAATGGAAATTATAGAAGAGAGAGCTTCAACGATCTAGGAGCGAGAATGAATTATACACTAGAAGGTGAACAATGAACGGTCAAAGGATAGAGAATGAAATATAGAGAGAGAGAATAAAATACAAGAGAGAGACGATTTATGGAAAGAGAATGAAATATATAGAGAGAGTGGAATACAGGAGAGAGAATACAATATAGAGTCGACAATGAACAAGAGTGGATGAGAAAGAGAGTGAACCGTAAGCGCTGAAGGACTGAAGAAGATACCGGTCCTTTATAGTATTATTTAAGCTTTTAGTTTGAGTGAGTTAAAGTGCCAAGATTTCACAAATTTCTCCGACCATTACCTTATTCTACCATTTGAAGTAGAATAGGATCAGGATGCCCCGCACATCTCTGATGTGCATCGTGTCTTTTGCGTGAAAATATTTATATATATGGTATGTTTTCATATGGATTCTCAATTGAATTCTCAGAATCAAATTGAGCGGATAAATGGAGTATACCTTGACATTCTGAAGTAGCTTGGATGTATTTTGACTCAGTTCTGAATTTTTAATTTTTGATGAAAATAGCCAAAAATGGGCTATTTCACGTAGTATAGGTTTTCACTCAGTTCTTGTATTTTGTTCTGAAAACTACCATTGCCACGAGATCCAGCGTGATCGATAACCTAAGGTTTCATGCATTTATGAAGGTCTCAGAACGAAGAATAGGGGAGTCTCAGGGCTTCGAGAAAAACGTTCAATGCTCCTGAACCAAGCAAAATGAAACTTTTACTTGGATCTAATTTTGTAGAGGACACTTTAAAATATTTTTTCATGTAATTGTTTTAATTTTAACGGCAAAATTTATTTGGAAAACAGCAACATCCGTTGGAGGTTTCTAGAAAACCCCCAGAAAACCTCACTGTTACAAGGGATGATTCCTGCAACCTTATACGTTTAAACTGTATAGTTTTGCAAGTTCAAAACAGAAAACAAAAAAATTTTAACTTTCCAGCTCCTGCTATAAGAGAAGATCTCCTGAAAACCTTAGGCTTTGAGTGAAAAACCTCTAAAAGTCTCCAAAAATAAAATTTCCTTTTTATGAAATAGGTTGTTGTCATTTTTACAGGGGGTCTCAAAAGTCCGCCGGTAAAAAAGAAACTTGAATAACTCCACTCTGTTTCAATGAAATGGGTATAAAAACGCGCATACGCACACTCCAATGAATACTGAGGACAGGTACTGGCGAATGTCGCGTGGACATTCGCCAGTCGCCAATATGGCGAATGCCTATTGGAGAAAAGTTGAATTGGCAAAACGCGACTTTACCATAGTAACTTACTCTCAGATGAATCTTTATAACTTTAGTAGAGATGCCTCATATAGGTCAGAAACGTCTTAGTTTGAAGAGAAATGTTTTTTGAGTATTTCCAGTACTAAATATCCAGGATACTGTCAGAATATGTGAAAAAATTGGAAGAATACAGTAGGCATCTGGCTGCTACATGACGGTGAAAATTGCAAGTCTCTATCTATTTCCAATCAATATTCAAAAAATGGTCAAGGCCATTTTGTTCATTGGATTAGACAATACATATTTAATTGTATTAAGTATTTTTCAGTGCACTTTACAAGACTCATCATCAGTTGAACAACAGTCAACATTGTTTACTTCCGATGATTCACACAGTCATTCTGTTATGTCAAAGTCAAATGTTTTGTCATCAAAAACAACAACACAAAGTATGAATTCAACATTAACATCCTTCTCATCGAATCCTCCATTTGGGTCATCAATTATGAACTCAAAAATTGGGTCACAAAAACCTACAACAAAATTCACAACGGCTCATACCTCACCCAGTTCAAAATATAAAAGAAAGCGACCAGGTTGGGCACTTAAGTAAGTTAGTTTAACATGCCGTATATGTAGTCAAACCTATCAATTATTTTCATCCGTACACTATTGTAGTTCATTTCTTGATGTTTAGGATTTGTAAAACATATTTTAGATGTATTCTATTACATTACTCTGTTTGTTAATTTGTGCTTCATTACTAGTTCTTATTATGGTTGCTTATGAATTTACATTGAATAACAATAAAAGAGCATCAACAACCACAACAACCTCAGGTAAAGGTCTGAATCACATTTGGACGTAAATTGATTCGCATCGAAAAACAAGACTTCATTTTATACGTGACATTAATAAGACGATTTTTTACTTCCACTATCTTCTCTAATATTGAAGCTAGGTTCATGGGAGCTGGTTATCAGAGGTTTTCGCGGATGATGAATCTAATGGTATTATCAGTTTTTTCGGCCGTCGTACTTCATAATGGAGTTCCAAAAAGCCGATTTTTGAGCGCTGGGATTTTACCGGGAACTTTTTTCTTAGAACAGTCTTAGACATTGAAGCCAAACAACCATATAGGCTTTGTAGAACGTACTTTCTTTTATCTAAAAATTATCGTGGAAACCTTTTGTGCTGTCTTAGGAAGCTTCTACAAACCGTTTTTTACGCAAAATCCAGGGTTTCTGGAAAACCTTTCACAGAGACCAAGCTTTCTACGACAAAACCTTGGCTTTTTCTGCATTCGTATGAAAAGAGCATGGCTTACAAACATATAAAGGTCACCAATACATTTTTCAGTGGATCTTCAGAAAACCAGTTTGGATGTCTAAAACTGGCATAGAAATAGGTCGATTCTTTGTCATAGATATATAGTCCGAAGTGTCCTCTACAAAGCTGGATCTGAGCGACATCTCGAAAATCCGTAGTTCGGGAGCTATGGATGTTTTTTCCGAAGCGTTAGGGCTGCGCTGCTGTTAGGTTTGGAACTCTCAGAAATGAATGAAAACATAGGTTATCGACGGTCTTGTGGCCATGTTAGTTTTTAGGACAAAATGCAAAAGCTGAGTGAAAACCTGCACTAGGTGAAATAACCCGTTTTTGCCTATATTCACCGAAAATTAAAAATTCATAACTCAGTCAAAATCCGTCCAACCTACTTTAGAATATTAAGACATACTCTATTTTATCTGCAGTATACCCTAAAGCTCAATAAGTGTTTTAAAAATCAACAGAGAACGCTTTTGCTTTTGGGAAGGCTTTCCAGAAACTTTCGGAGTTAAGAGAATATTTTTTATTGATCTTGAGTACAGAATCAGATTGACGACGTAAGCTAAGGTTGGATGGATTTACAAATACATTACAAAACACAGACGCACATTACCAACGGCATAGAGACCGAGCGAATCTGAAGGATGAGGGTTGCTTATGTATTATATCTAGTTAAGAGCACTCAGATAGCGAGAAGAAATCACAGAAATAAATTGAATCGCTAGAATCCCGACTAGGAGTGTAGCTGTAGCGGTTTTCGGTCTCAACTGTCAACGTTTAAATCCACTGATCTAAGATTCTTAGATGAGGGAAACCTTCATATTTTTTCCGTAAAATCTTGACTTGAATGAAGCTCTCTTGTCCCATGAGGACTTTTTCGATAGAAAAAGTACGATATATCGGTGTGTGACACCCATAGCGATAAAATACTGTATCGCGATGTAATATATCCACTGCTTCATCGCTATGTGTGGTCTTATCTCGCCATGTACTAGGTTTATCGCGATAACGCTGTATGTCCATATGTAACATATTCCCCGATATTATTAAGTATTGTGTGTAAGCGCAGTGAACTGAACATGCAGCGCGATAAGGCCACACATAGCGATGAAACAATGGATATGTTACGTCACGATACGGTATTCTATCATAAGGGGTGTCACACCACGATATATCGTACGTTTTCTATCGAAAAAGTCCTGATTGGATCTATCAAAATGTTTTTTGGAAATTTACAGGTTTTCTACGTTATTCTGCTCGTTTTCTGCCTCTTTTTTCAATTTTCTTCCGAATGACTTTTCTCAATGCTTTTCGGTCTACAAGTCATCATACTTATACTGAACTACAGTATAACGACATCTAACGACATAATTTTTACGTTGACAGTTGAGAATATCAACCGATGAGATACCGTTGATAGTTCAGAACTTCAACTGCAAAAAACGTTCTCATTCCGTTCAAATTTTTACCACATCAACGTGAACGGCACAGCCCTAATCCCAAAGTAACGCTCACCAGTTGACGAAAACTTCTGTAAACGTTTCTTCGTTAAAAAAGAGGAGTCTAATTGACCCATTTAAATCACGGTTGGAAAAGTTCAAATCGGTTTTAACTGCACAGCACGGCGAGAACCGTTCTGCTCAGCGGTTACTCATTCGTGTTAGGGTGGCTAGCAATACCACGGTAAGTCTCTTTTGAATGAATAATCAAAAAAAAACATTTTGTCAGTTTTTCTCTCTTGACAGTTACTTCAACAACATCGTCATCTAGCACTTCAAGTACAACGACTACATCAACAACGAGTATGGTTCAGAACCGATCGTCTATCGACTTAGTCTGAGATCTCTTGTGTTTCGAATATAGGCACCACAGCCACATCGACGACATCAAGTACGTTTCTTGTTATATTTCTAGAGCTGTCAAAATTTGTTTAAATGAGGATGCGCTGTAAATAAATTCTCTATCATAAACCTGGAAAAAGCGCAGAGTTCAAAGTAGTTATACTGTGTAGCGATCTGCTGTCGGGCGGGGTGTAACGGCTCATTGCCATTACATAATTCTCCGTCCTTGATTTTATCTCAGATTTCAGAAATTCTCGAAACTTGGAAGCTTGACAGTTTTTAGAGAGAGAGATCATAAAAAAAGAAATTATTAATTATTTATTAATTTAATAAAAGTTATCTTCTGGGACACAAGCGAGAAATGAGTCGTAATGGGAGAGCGATATTTCGTTTAAAATTCATCCGTTTCATCTTCTTCAAAATTCATCCCTTTCATCTTCTTCAAAATTCTACTCTTCAAAATCTAAATCTGTTCTTTTTCTCTCATCTTCAGAGAAAAAGGAAATTATCATCAACATACTTAACCTTCTTCTTCTTTTATATACAGGGAAGAAGGAGCTTGAATAAAATATTTTTATAATTTATTATTCCGTTTGCAATACTTTTTTTTCTCTTTCTTTACATCAGCATCTCGATTGCATATTATTATTATTATATTATATTACAACATATTCTTCTTGGGACCAAAAAGAAGAATATTACCCTCTTATTCTATTTATTAACTAACTGAACCTTTACTTGTACCATCAACATTGTACAAACAACGTTTTGTACAAAACTTTCATAGTTAAAATAATAATAATTGTTGCTGCTGGTAAAGCAGAATTGCGAGTTATTTTGTGAAGCTGCTAGGGCCTAACAAGCACCACATGGGGTGTTTTTCGAATAAGTGACATTTTATTCCCTTAACTGAACGCTAGGGTCCTACGATATCAATTTTTCGTGTCTGTCCGCACTTGACGTACTTAGATCAGCTCAAAGCTTCCAAGACTTTGTGTCAAAGAGGCACACTAGCATAAAATCGAGCATTCTTCAGTGTCAAAGCTCTTCAGGTTCACATCAAAGAGAAATTTTGGTAAAGATCTTTAAATATTTGGCAAATCAAAACAATTTGTGTTTGATTTTTGCTCTATAGAAATATTGCTTATAATGTCATTCCCTATCGAATGAGGTAAATTGCAATGAACGACCTTTGACAGCTATGTAATTTAAACACAGTTCACTTTTGATCTTTGTTTGTTTTAGTCACAAGCACAACAGCAAGTGTGTTCACAATGAATACTCTGAAAAATTATTCTTTGTCAGAGTGCATCCACTAGTACATCAACTACAACCACGACCACAAGTAGGATTTTCCAGTGCACATATTTCCCTACTTGAGATCACATTTTCTCAGTGGCATCGGTCTGTGTTACCGCAGCAACCGCCACTCATGTGACCGATGGATTTTTAAAAATAGCAAAAGGTGCGGCACGTAATCGCTTTTTCTGATCTTTGAATCACCATTCACTTATATTTGAGTTCCGGTTGATACATCTGAAACTGTGTTATGTTCAAGGACTTCTTTGGAATAGCTATTGCCACTTAAGTAAGTGGTAATGAAAAGCTATTGACACTTATTGTAAGTATCAACTTGGTTTTATTGTCAATTGCAAGTATTCACAACACCAAGAAGTGTCAATGTCAACTAACAGCTGTTGATACTTACACGCGCTGATGTCGACTGTAGCGCCAATCATACAAATTTGGAAAACTGTGGCATAATGCGCGATCTATCCAATTCCACATTGTCCGTAGCGCCACATACCCACACCACACATGAGTGGATGCTGCAGTAGCCGTGAGCTTTTACCCTAGGTAGCGGGCACTAATATGGAATTCGATAGATGGCGCATTATCCACATACGACAGAAAGTGCCACAGTTTTCGAAATTTGTATAGATGGCGCTGCAGTCGACATCAGCGCGTATATGTATCAATAGCTGTTTGTTGACATTGACAGTTTTTGGTGTTATGAATACCTACAAGTGGCAATAGCTTCTTGCACCACTTACGAGGGAACATTCCCAAGTGACACACTCCGATTTCATTCGTTCGTACGTCGATCGATAGAGGATAGTGAGCTAGTAAAAAGCCTAAAAGGGTTCGGGCCCTTTACTCTTGAAGATTCGATTTCTGGAAAACCAGTTTTTCAGAAACTTTAAAAAATAAACAAAACCTTTCCTTAATGATGCATGATTGTAGCCCGTACATTTCTGATTAAAATAAGACATTCCCCAGCTCTACACGACCTTTCTTTGCGAAGTTATAGAATTTACAAGAAAAGCCCTAAACTAATTTCTTCTTATTTCTGTAGCTTTGAGATGACAATGAACATTTAGGGCTTTTCTTGTAAATTCTATAACTTCGCAAAGAAAGGTCGTGTAGAGCTGGGGAATGTCTCATTTTGATCAGAAATGTACGGGCTACAATCATGCATCATTAAGAAAAGGTTTTGCTTATTTTTTAAAGTTTCTGAAGAACTGGTTTTCCAGAAAACCGGGTCTTCAAGAGTAAAGAGCCCGAATCCCTTTAGGCTTTTTACTAGCTCACCATCCTTTATCGATCGACATACGAGCGAATGAAATCGGAGTGTGTCACTTGGGAAAGTTCCCTCGTTAGATAAGTGGCAACCGACTCAGCCTAAGTTCTTTTCTATGGAATGTTACCACCGCTAGAAACTGGAAAGTTCTGGTCTACAATCTGGTGCTATCAAAATCATTTTATAAAATATTCCAACATCAGAGGTTTTCACAAGCCTCAGCATGTGCTCCAAATGACTCAGCATCTTCGATTACCTATAATCAGCTATATTTCGAGCATAAAATGATAGGGTTTCCTCTTAGAAAACTAGAGTTGTTCTTAATACGTGCACTTTCACAGAATGACTACCCTTTCATACTTCTTGAACAAATTTACATGTTCAAAATCGACTTTCGATTTCCAGTGCCCTCTATAGTATCTGTTGCTTTACTCACTTATAATTTTGTTCTTTTCTAGGACCACCGTATGAACTTTGTACATCAGGTTCAACAGTCTTATATGATAATCAATTTATATTTGCACTCAATGGTGCATATGCTGCTGGTATGAAAAATAATTATTTTGGTGTTTATTATGCATCCGGAAATACGGTTGATGCAGCACTTTGGACAGCACCACAAACATCAGCACCATCAGATGCTTGGTTCGTAGCAAAAGGTGACCGAAATTTGGCAGTTTAAGTAATATACATCAAAGACGTCGGAAAGACACGAGGAGTATCGGTAATCAAAAAATTAAACTTAATAATTCCTTTACTGACGAGTAACGCTCACCTTGAGCTCACGGTCCCTTAACAGCAAGCGATCCATTTTACTCTGTTTTCACTCCTATTGTTGGCTCCACAGGAATATTAAACAGAGCTACTTAGAGGTATGTGTGGGCTTAGGTTCCACAGGTTTTGCAGTTTTTTAAATTCTTTTAGCACCATAACTCAAGTCAGGTTTATTTTTTAAGCTTTTTGTAATGCAATGAGAAGAAGAAAAATGAAAAGAGAGCGTACAAAAAGTGTTGTATTGCTCGAGTTTTAAGTTTAAACTGTCGATCTTGACTGTGAATGTGTTTGAAAGGAGGGATCCGTATAAGCTTAACAACCGGCCCACTCTTTTTCGAGTAAAATTGGTTTCATATGTGGTAAAGAAGTATTTCTATTCGAATCTGAGTAAAATCGGATACTTTTGTTCAGTTGATCAACACTCGCCAGATTGTTGGAGAAAGCAAGTCATTCTCGCGTTTCACTCTGATTCCAGGAAAAACAAATTAGCGGAACTGTATGTAATTCTTCTACTCTCGAACAATGCACAGTTACCACTTTGCTTTCAACATTTTTACATGCATCGTATATACAGAATTGAATGCTCTTCAAAATTCATATCGTTAGGCTTATGTACTAGATAAATTCATATCCGAATGGAAAACTAACCTTTTCTGAAAAAAATTCAAAAGAAATTATCGTTTTATTGGCTAAATCTAAATTTTTAGCTAGAGTACTCAGTTTTAAATGCACTATCCAATGACATGTCGGACCTGAAGACACTTTCCAAAAAATCAAAAGCCGGCGATCTCAAAATCATGATATCTGACTTCACAAATAAAAATTTGTACGAAACTATAAAGTATTGAATCGTAACCACAGTTTTATACGCTGAAACGAATGAGAGATTATTTTTTATAAAAAACTGCTTTTCGACCAAAAATCATATTGCGACATTTCTATTTAGCGATTTAGAAAATTAAAACCTAACTAGATGTGAGCTCTGAATCTCAGAAAAAAATTGCCTTCGCCTTCTTGCTGTAGTTTGTTCTGGCCACAAAAGAGAAAAGAGAGGTAAATTGAGGCTCTTGTGAGTGAGTCTTTTATGTATGTCTATGTATACATCAAGTTTGGGTCTTCTTTGGGCGCCAATGACCATGAATGGTGGTGTAGGCGGTCCATTTTGTTCTTTGTTTGATAAAATATGCCTTCTCTCCTTCCGGCTTCCACCTCCTGGCTTTCATCCAAAAGACAAATGCAATACGGCTCAGAATAAGAATGAGACCAACGAATTCTACAGATTGATAAATCGAGAACGTTGAGAATTGGAGAATTTTGTAAATAGAGAATTTGATAATTTCAAAGTTTAGATCATCAAACCTAAGAACTTTCCGAATAGAGAATATCAGTATTCTGCAAGTTTCGAGTTCGATAAGTTGTTAGTAAAATTTTCTCTCGAATCATTTTAAACTGAATTCAAGGACTACTCGATAAAAAACTTCTAGAACAACAAGCACGCTTTCGTCAAAATCGATCAACAATTGACCAAATTTTTAGTTTAAAGTGCATAAATGTGCTCTAGTGTGTTGCTAGAAAAGAGTTTTAGCACTCTGATGCTTTTTAACAAGTGCTGTCTTGTTTCTTCAGTGCGAAAATTCAACCCGCGAACGTTAGGATATTTTTTTTGAAGACCAGTTTTGATATAGACATAGAGTATGTTTGGGTAAAACTACAGATTTTCGGTTCAATTTTCATCCTGCTGAAGAAGTTCATCTGGCTCCCCGCAAACCTCTGTGATCCCCCAAGTTCATGTTTGCCCGTGAATAACTCGATGTTTCTGCTCAAGAAATAAATATTTTTTGCTGATAAAGTCGATGTTTACTCACTGGTAGTTAAAACAAATCGAAAAAACCCACTTTTCGATGAATATTTTTTGCTTTTCTTTACTCTATACATGAAAAAAAGCATCTAGATTCATTTCACTGCACTTTTATATAAACAATCCTGAAGATAAACTATATTCAGCAATTCACTCATGCCTTTTTATCATATTTTGCTCTTCTCTCTTCTTCCATGTAGAAACACGTAGTTATTTATCAAAAAAGATAAAGAAAGAACGTGATATACACGTCTTCATACCTAGTATGACTGAGGAGAGATAGAATGCACATCTTCTCTTCAAAACTACTGTTTTTATTCTAAAAGAACTAATAAAATCTACAGAGTTCCCTTCTAAAACCTTGAAAACTGGATCTTCACTTTGTTGTGGTCAGATGAAGCCTCTAGACATTGATTTTCGACTAGAATGGCACACCATTAGAAAGAGCGCTGCTTAATCTATCTCCAGTGCAAATAGCTTATTGGTTTAAGGTTTCTAGGTGTACCTTTGACAGTCAATAAGTCGGAGACGGGAAATCCTTCAGGTTATTGGAGGTTTCAGAGCCGAAGCGTTACCCAATCAATTTGATTCTTACATATTTGGATAAAGCACAGTGAATTACATATAGACAAAGTCATTCAGACCATGATAGCCCCTTCTCATGGCAGCTGAAAGTCAAAAACTCTAAAAAACCGGTTTTCGACGCATTTTTTGCTTCGGCCGCCGTTTCATAGGGAAGCATTTTGATGAACTGTGAATGCGATTTTCGTGATCAGTATTCAATTCTGAGTCAGAAAAAGTGTCATTTACCCAGTTTAGAGAAAAAATATTTTTCGACGTCCGTAACCCTCACCCCTCACCTTTGCCGTAAAATTTTTTCGCGAATTTGAACGATCTGAGAATACAGTTTTACTCAGAATTCGACGCTCATTCCGAATATGTATGACTCATGATGTAATTCTTTGGGCACGAAACCTTACATTCTGCCACTTGTCCTTTTGCACGAAGATGAAAAAATGAAACATATGCAGCAAAACTCAAGTGCTGTGACGAAATTTAACTCAAAAAAGCAAGACAGAACTGACGAACAAGATCGCTTTAAGGACTCTCCTCCTCAGAATGAAACCTTTTGGTATGAAAAAGTCCATTTGGAAACAAGCACATGAAAAGATAGCCTGGGGTGTCTACTTTCAGAATCTATATCTCTTTCGGACCTAGAACTAGTTTTTCGTGGTTTTGAACATGTCCTAAAATAGAACAACGAATGCCCAGAGTTTCTCTCCAAACTCGTTTTTTGTTCGAACACTCTCAGTGTGGGACCCTTTTTTTAAACATAGTTCAAGCTAGAGATCTCGGGTTGGTTTTATTTTAAACTAGACCCCTGACTACGAGGACTGATGGGAGCCGATTTTTGAATTAGGCCTTAGTTTTCTAGAAAATCAAGGATCTCCGAAAAGCCAGAAAGGATTTTTTGGGTTTTTGAAGATCTTGGATCTCTAGAAAACGAACAAGGACCTAAATCAAATATCTGGTCTCAACAGTCCATGCAGGTAGGTGTCTACTTTAAAATAAAATCAACCCGAGATCTCTAGCTTGAAGTATATTTAAAAGAAGGCTCCCACAGTGGAGGGTGGGTTTTTGACCCGGGACTCTGGAAAAACCCGAAACGGTAAGAGATAGCGAGGAGAAAACAATTTCATAACCACACTTTGATATGACAAACATTTGCTGACAGTGGTATCAAAATCGGGTATAAGATAAAAAAGTTTTTTTCTGAGAAGGTCCTTCAGCGGATTTATTTTATCCTTATAAGCTTTATTGAAAAGAAAAAAAGTTAGAAAAGATCAGTACAATAATGAGCAGAAGGAGGCGAACCCATTGTATCTTTACATCATTGATTTATTTTATCCTTCGTCACCTCATGAGTTCATTGATGATGGGGAGCTTTCACTTATTTTTAATCAGCTATTTTCTTCACTTTAGAGAGAAAAGAAAGAATCGATTCTTTTATTTATTAGGAGATAACCATATACTTACTCATGTTTATTATGCGTTGATCATGAAATTACATAGACACACACCGGTATAATAAAAAAGTATGCTAGTTAGTCATATGAAAAACATCATTAAATAAAGGTGAAATGGATAAATATAAAATAAGGTAACGTTGGCATTTTGAATAATAAATATTTAGTAAATGGGGAATAGTCAATCATCATCTTTATCGTCTACTCATACTCGGTCCGATGGGTTATTTTTCGCAGCTAATGAGTTTCAAAGTATTACTCATGATCCAGCATTATGTCGTTTAAATGAAGAATGGACAAAAAATCGATCAAAACCAACTCTGATTAGACTTGATGATTCAAACATTAATTTACAAACGTATATTAATAAAGAGCTGTCTCACAAAACCTCTTTCTAATACCTTTGAATTCTATTTTTTAGAAGAATTTTCAAAAGTGACTAAAGCATCTTATACTCTTTTACCCTCGAATGCTAATAATCAAATTCAAAAAGTTACGATCGAAGCACTGAACAATAAGGAAGATATCAATAAAATACTAACGGTATCATTATTTATGACGCATCCATTATTTCTTTTTCTCCTCTTTCTTGTTTAGCAGTTTGTTTTTCCCATCTATCTACTACCTTGTTTATTTCCGTACGTTACGGCTAACTACTCACGTAGTCGTCTATGCGTCTGTTATACTCGAATCCCTCTCCAAAGAATGAAACATTATGAAGAAATATCATTATTTTGAAAAATTGAGTCCGTCATTCACGAATTTTACTACCCATCAATCTGTTCAAGACTTTTTCTAACAGATTCACATTACCTATCATATTTTGCATAGATCTAGATATTTTTTTATGACAGTAATTACTATCCATTTCAAAAAAGAAGAAGCACGGCCATTTCTTTAATAACTTTTTTCAGATCGCAGCTAGAGAACTGCGGTTTTCACTATTCGAGAGCAAAATGTTGGGGCTATACAC